AATTGAGTAGTGACTGGGACAATAGGGACACCTCACTACCTAAGGCACAAAATTTTTGCTTGTATCAAGCATCGTACTTCTTTTTTATATATATATATATATTATATATATACGGTAGTATATATACTATATATATATATAGTTATATAGTATATATATATAATATAATGTGTGTGGCCAGCTCGCTGTGTGTGGTGACCTCGTAGCTCGTGGTGTAGTGTGGTGTGTGTGCTGTGTGTGGTGGTTGTTGTGATGTACATTACTAGTCCGAAATCTTTCCTATTTTGAAGGTAGTTCCTCAAATCATTTAAATTGCTATTAGGTCCCTTAAGCATTAGTTTATTTTGAAATTAAACCTCAAATCAATGAAATTTCTATTTGGGCCCCCCAATTCTTAGATTATTATTTCAAATTTAGTCCCTCATGTCGAAGAGTGAAAGTAACAATTTAAGGATATTAATTTACCAATTCATTGAGATCGGCATTAGGTTCTCAAATTCTCATAAGGCATTTCAAATTAAGCCTTGAAGTTGCTACTTCTACTTTTAATTTGATTGGAGGGACTAATTTCAATATTACTTAAGAATTGAGGGACTAATAGCAATTTTCATGATTTGAGCGTCTAATTTCAAAAAATAAAAACCTTAACTATAAAAGTAGGCAGTAAATATCAGGGGCATTGGTTGCTGTTTTGTAAATATCACCTGTTGGATAGTGGGAGAGTACAAAGGGTACATGTGAAGAGAGAGCCACCACGTGAAGAGATAATTTGTTTCAAAAGCAAGTGGGGGCCACAAGCTTTGGAGAATTGAACATAGCCAGCGGTTTTTTGAGGGAAACTTGTGATTAGCTTTGTTTTTTTGGACACGGCCCACCCGATTGACCATTCATGCCTATCAATACCCTAAGGTTGCCTAGGGTTTTCGGAGGCAAGCAGCAAGGTGGGTCTTTGTTTCGGCTGCAGGAGAGAGTGCAGAAAGAAGCAAAGTTGGCGGCTGCAGCAAGTGGCAGAGAGCAAGGACAGACTTTGGCGGCTATTCACAGAAAAATACAAAGTCTTTTTTGCAGTTGTTCTTTGATTTGTACTCCCCCTTTGAGAGAGATATTTGTGTGAGGGATTTGAGAGTTTGTGAGAGGGTTTAGATTGAGTGATTGTAAACCCTAGTTGTGTTCTCTCCCTCTAATAGTATATCTCCCCCCTCCTTGCCCCGTGGACGTAGGCAGTTTGCCGAACCACGTAAAATTGGTTTGTTTGAGTTTGTGGCCATTGTAATAGTTTTTAGGATCCCTCGACGCGCAGTCCTAGAGCTGACGAGAGGAAGAGCAAATATCTCACTTTGATGGGATATTAGGCTTTCAGATTCTTGTTCCCTTTGAGAAACAAGAATTCTTATCGATCTTTCTCTCTTATTGTGCACCAGAAACTCTGCCGAAATTTCCGCTGCGCACAACAAGTGGTATCAGAGCCCAGATTCCAGATCTAGGGTTTGGTTGGAGGAGTAGATCAATTTGGAGGCCCGTTTAGGACTTCGTTGGTGATAAAGGTGGGATCTTTTGGTAAAGACTCTATCTTTCAGTTTTGGATCTATTCTTTGTTCGTTGGTGCGTAAGATGTCGGGGAAAGAAGGTGCTTCGGGAGTCGAGGGTGGTTCTTCTGGCGTGAAGACTATTCAGAGTTTGAATATCCACTCTATGAAGATAGATGTGGAGAAATTTAATGGCACAAACAACTTTGGATTATGGAGATGCGAGGTTTTGGATGCGCTGAACGCGCAGAATTTGGAGGATACATTGGAGTTAGATGGCAAGCCAGATGAGATTGAAGAGAAGGTTTGGAAGAAGATGAATCGAACGGCGTGTGGTGTGATTAGGTCTTGTTTGACTCAAGATCTAAAATATGATGTGATGAATGAGACTTCTGCGAAGAAGATTTGGGAGATTCTCGAAAGCAAGTATTTGACCAAGAGTGTGGAAAATCGCTTGCATTTGAAGAGGAGACTTTATCGTTTCCAGTTGAAGAAGGGAACCTCCATTAGAGATCACATGAACCACTACACAAAGCTTCTTGCGGATTTGGCGAATGTGGATGTCAAGATTGAAGATGAGGACAAGGCGTTGCTGTTGTTGAGTTCCTTGCCCGACGAGGAATATGAGACCTTCGTTCTTACTCTGATTAATGGGAAGGCATCACTTTCGTATAGTGAGGTCACCGCTGCACTTGTGAATTATCAGCTTCGAAAGAAGGATAAGGAGGCTTCGGTTGAGCCGGTAGCGGAGGCGTTGGTCGCAAGAGGGAAGGGTCCAAACCGAAAGAATTGGAAGTCACAGTCTAGAGTAGGAAAAGATCAGTGTGCTTGGTGCAAGGAGACTGGTCATTGGAAGAAAGACTGCCCAAAGCTCGACGAATGGATGAAGAATAAGCAGAAGGGAAAAGGGAAGCAACCATCATCAGAAGCAAACATCGTATCGGATGGTAATAATTCTGACTCTTCTATTTATTCGCTTTCTATCAGTCCTACAGATAGCTATTCGGAGGAATCTGAATGGATGTTGGATAGTGGTGCGACCTATCATGTGTGCCCTAGAAGGGAATGGTTCTCCAGTTTTGAGAAGCTGGTGGATAGTGGTGTGGTGTACATGGCTGATAACCGTGCATGCCAGATCCTTGGGATAGGAAGAATTCGCATAAAGATGTTTGACGGGACTGTTAGAGAGTTAAACGATGTGAGATATGTTCCTTCTTTGAGGAAGAACTTGATCTCGATTGGAGCTTTGGTTGGAGAGGGTCTGAAGGTTCGTGTTGAGGACATGGTTCTCGAGATTGCGAGAGACTCTCGTATTTTGATGAAGGGCGTCAGGAGAAATAACCTGTATTACTTGACTGGAGGTATAGTGGCAGGTGGAGAACTGACGACTTCTGTTGATTCGACTAGACTGCGGCATTTGGGGCTTGGCCATTCCAGTATTGATTCCTCGCATAGATTGAAAGAGGGTGCGAAGACCTGCAGTTTGAAGTCCAGTGAACATGTTGATGTGAGCAAGAAGACCGAGGTGAAGTGTGGCACCTCTATTCACCGTGCTAAGGGTCGTTCTGGAGGAGTTCACGTGGAGGTTTGGGGGCCTTCCAAGGGGACATCATTGGGAGGTAATAGGCGTTTGGTTTCCTTTGTTGGTGGCTGTTCTAGGCGTGTTTGGGTTGCAACCAAATCCCCATTGGAGAAAGTCCTAGTAGTCTCTAACAGTTTGAAGAAGTGTGTAATAGACAGAAAGGTGAAGGTACTCCATTCTGGTGGGAGGTACAAGATGGACCTATTTCTGTATTGGAGCCGAGCTCACGGCATTTCGAGACATTTCGTTGGAAAGGAAATCTTGGGGCAGCTAGATAGGGTGATAAATTTGGAGAACCGTACCTTGCTGGAGGAGGATCGGTGTTTGTTGTCAAGCAATGGTCTGCAGAAGAGTTTCTGGACAGAGGCTTCGACATATTTGGGTCATCCTATTAAAGAGTTGTCAACTGCTGTGATTGGAGGTAAAACTCCATTGGAAGATAGGTCTGGTAGTGTCACTTTGCTTCGATGAGAAAGCCAATTGACTCTCAGCAGGTGGAGAGTTTTGGACAGACCTTAGAGGTATCGCAGCGGGTGGAGATTGATGCTACTCCACATTGGGTGAAGATTACTCCAGATCATACTGCATTGTTTGGGATTCCAGCTGAGGTGACATGGCTTGGAGATCATTTGGTTTTGGATGCAGATGATGAGTTGGGTTTTGAATCGAGTGTAGCTGATAGATGTAGCTTGGATATGGTCATTGGTTCACCTCAGGTGGAGGTGTTTGAGGCCATTGGAGGTGCTATCAGTCGCAGACTTGATCGTGATGTTGGAGAAGGGTTGCGAACTCTTCTAGTGGATTGAGGCCTTTGGAGGCCATTTGGGTGAACTACGTTCGACTTGATTCCTTAGGCAAGAGGATACGTAGGCAGTCTTTATGATGCAGCCGGGTTGGATTTTGGTGGGGGTGAGATCGATTTGGTGAGTTAATACCGACATTTGGAGAGTGTTTGCATTCTCATTTGGGTTCTCGACTTGTTATGGATTGAGTCTGTTGTCGTGAACACGTGAAGAGATAATTTGTTTCAAAAGCAAGTGGGGGCCACAAGCTTTGGAGAATTGAACATAGCCAGCGGTTTTTTGAGGGAAACTTGTGATTAGCTTTGTTTTTTGGACACGGCCCACCCGATTGACCATTCATGCCTATTAATACCCTAAGGTTGCCTAGGGTTTTCGGAGGCAAGCAGCAAGGTGGGTCTTTGTTTCGGCTGCAGGAGAGAGTGCAGAAAGAAGCAAAGTTGGCGGCTGCAGCAAGTGGCAGAGAGCAAGGACAGACTTTGGCGGCTATTCACAGAGAAATACAAAGTCTTTTTTGCAGTTGTTCTTTGATTTGTACTTCCCCTTTGAGAGAGATATTTGTGTGAGGGATTTGAGAGTTTGTGAGAGGGTTTAGATTGAGTGATTGTAAACCCTAGTTGTGTTCTCTCCCTCTAATAGTAGATCTCCCCCTCCTTGCCCCGTGGACGTAGGCAGTTTGCCGAACCACGTAAAATTGGTTTGTTTGAGTTTGTGGCCATTGTAATAGTTTTTAGGATCCCTCGACGCGCAGTCCTAGAGCTGACGAGAGGAAGAGCAAATATCCCACTTTGATGGGAGATTAGGCTTTCAGATTCTTGTTCCCTTTGAGAAACAAGAATTCTTATCGATCTTTCTCTCTTATTGTGCACCAGAAACTCTGCCGAAATTTCCGCTGCGCACAACATCACCTTCATCCGAGTTTTTTCGTCAGAGCTTAATATGAAATTTTCATTCAATACATTTCTTGTCAGAAAAATTTTTCCTCTAGAAATTAAACCTCTGAATGATAAAGCAGAAATAAAATATTTAAATGTCATTTTCAGATTATTTTTCTAAAGTCCTACTGAACCTACTGCAGTATATATGTAGCAATTTCATGACAAAACTCTTATATTAGATTTTAGTTTATAGATAATAACAAAATTACACCACCCTACTATAGTATCAATAATCTTGTTTGTACATTACGAACACATACAAAAAACTATGAGGCCTGCTAATTAAGTTCTACTCATTTGCTCATATTAGAATGCACTGTTGAGATAGAAATATAAACCAGCAAGTGCTGCAACTCCAAGAACGATGGCAATGGGCAACGCTTTTCTGCAAAGCAAAAAAATGGCTAAGGAAAAATTAATAAGAATTAGTTCCAATAACAGATTAATAATACAAACCCAATGGCTTCATCTTTTTTAAGTTGCTCCTTTCTGGCTTTACGAACATCTGTGGCATTCGCATTCTTTTTAACTGCAGGTTGATAAGCCCTGAATCTTCGTTTAGGAGCACCGCAGACTGTACATTGTTAAGAAAAGAAATCCAAGTGGTTTTATTAGACTTTTAGTCTCAGAAATGATGAAAAGTACAATAAACGAAAGTCTCATGAAAGGAAAATACGATATTTTAACGGACAATAAGATATGAAATTTCCATTGGTGAGTATGTTGATAATTCAATTTTATTTATGATTTTAGGAAGATGTTTATTAGACTTTTAGTTTAAGAAATGTTGTTGGGTTTAAATCTAATATATGGGTCAATATATTAAATAGATATGTATTATGTGCTATCAATCAAGGTTAGCCCATTAAAGTGATCTAATTAGGGTTTGGGCTTTTAATGCATAATTAAAGTATGAGTCTCCTATGTGTAGAGGTCAAAATATGAGGTCAATATATAATTGTTAATTCTATGATGGGTTGAATTGATAATTATGAATAACTGATAACAGTTATAAATAAGGTTGCGGTTCTCCAAATCTCTGCGTAGAATCTCTTTCTTATTTTCCATCTTCAGAAATATTAGAGTTTCTCTAAGGAGGATATATACGTAGAAGATTTGGAAGATCTACATCTCAAAAAAACTCAAGAATCATATCTTACTCTATGGATTCAGGTATGTTTCCGCATCTTCTTAATTATTTCAATAGTTTGACATGAATAATCTTGGGATTGATTAGGGTTTTATCTATTAAAGTAAAGTTTCCTTTTGATCTAACAATTGGTATCAGAGCGGTGTTCATGTTAATCAATTGAGAATCAATTTTAATTTTTGATGTGATTCTCTTGTATGTTTTCAAATCTAAAAATATTTTTTTCAATTGTTTAATTTGAGAACAAAATTTGGTAGTTCTTCCTCTTATATGTTCTTCTTGATTTCGGATTTAAAAGGGTTATCACATTTTAAATTTTATGAACCCGATTTAGAAGAATTGATGTTTGATTGAAAAAAAAAATTTAATTTTACTCTAGTCCCGCTACAATGTCGGCAGGGAAAAAGAAAAAACTACAGTACCGCTTATTTTGCTACAGTATCACGGGAAAAAAAATTGCTACAGTGTCACGAAATTTTGCTACAGCACATCGAAAATTTAGCGCCGTTGAAAACTTGGTGTTATTCTCTATTGGCCCACTAATACGTTAGCGGGATTTAGCGTCGTTGAAAACTTTGTGTCGTTCTCTATTGGCTCACTAATACGTTAGCTAAATCTAATACGTTAGCGGGATTTAGCGCCGTTGAAAACTTGGTGTCGTTCTTTATTGGCCCACTAATACGTTAGCGGGATTTAGCGTCATTGAAAACTTGGTGTCGTTCTCTATTGGCCCACTAATACGTTAGCAGGCTGAGATAAGTGTGGAGGCTTTAGGTTTGAGGGCCATGATTTAGAAAAAAATCAAAGCAAAATATTATAGTGGGTCGCCCTCATCATTGGCTTGTTTTATAAAAAAACGTAAGTAGGCCCATGTGAAACCTAGCGCAGGCCTGTACGCGTTAATATTTTTTCTGGGTTTAGAATTAGTTTATTTATTTATTTATTTATTTATTTATTTATTTATTTGATTCAAAATTTTGACATTAAACTTTATTAAAGATATACGATGTACTAAAAGAATTAATTGAAACAACATGTTACCAAAGTAGCCTCTCTTGTGTAGATCAATTTATTTTTATACATCAAAAGACAGTGTGTATATGGTTTATGCAAATATTAATCAGCCCAAAGGAAGGTTAATATTTGAATAAATCATATGCATATCTGTGGTGATAAATATGTGACAATTATTTGGTTTAACATGTGAACAATAAATCGGTCTAAAGAAAGGTTTATTGTTTGACATGTCTTATTGTCAATGTTTGATCACTACACCAAGAATACCACTTACAAATTAATATTTATGTCCAAAGACTAAATATTAATGTTGTGTTAGGTATCTTGAGATGGATATTGCCAATTTTAAATTCGTTAATTTTAATTTGTTTTCTTATGTAAGCGTATTTATTTTCTTATGTTGTTCTCTAATTCAGCTATTAGTTCTACTTCAAACATCGCTACCAACATTAATTCCATTTCTATGCTAAATGGCACCAACTTCAAGTCATAACAAGATAACGTTATGATAGTTCTTAGAGTCATGGATCTCGACCTTGCGTTAAGGCTTCCTTCTCCTGCACCTCTTATGGACAAAAGTTTCACTAATGAGAAAAGGTACTTGGAGAGGTGGGAGAAGTCAAATCGCATATATATGATGTTCATAAATATGGCCATTCCAGAAGCATTCAAAGGCACTATTTCTGAGAAGATAACTACTACCAAAGAGTTCCTTAAAAACATTAAGAAAAGATTTACTAAGTATGAAAAGGCTGAAACTAGTACACTTTTGGCAAATCTTATAACATTAGGGAGTACATCATGAAGATGTCTCATACTGATTCAAAGCTGAAAGCACTTAAGCTTGAACTCTCTGAGGACTTGCTTATGCATTTGGTTCTTATATCTCTTCCCACACAATTCAGTCAATTCAAAGTGATCTATAATTGCCAAAAGGAGACTGGTCTCTTAATGAGTTTATCTCATATTGTGTGCAAGAAGTGGAAAGGTTGAAGCAAGAGAAGACAGAAAGTAATCATTTGGCTAGTACTTCCAAGGACAAAGGGAAGAAAAGAATGAAAAATAAAGAAGTTGCAGAAGCTCAACCACAAAAGAAACAACACAAAGCAAATAATAGAGATGGGTGTTTCTTCTGTGGGGCTGCGGGACATAAGAAGAAAAACTGTACTAACTATCATGCATGGCGTGCAAAGAAATGTACACTTTTCAATTTGTTTGTTCTGAGGTTAATTTATCTTCAGTACCTAGACATACGTGGTAGTTAGATTTTACTATCACAACTAACATCAGTGTTTCTATGCAGGGTTATCTGAGCTGCCTAAAGCTAAGTAATGGTGAAAGATACATCTATGTGGGCAATGGCAAGACGGTTAAAGTTGAGGCAATTGGGACATTTAGGTTATTGTTAAAGTCCTGTTGTTATTTGGATTTGAAAGAGACTTATGTAGTACCGTCATTTAGATAAAATTTAATTTCTATTCCTATATTGGACAAATTTGGTTACTTTTGTTCTTTTAGAAATGGTAAATTTAGTCTTTTTTAGAATTCAAATTTGGTTGGTACTGGTTCTTTATCTTATGCTGATAACATTTATTTGCTTGATATGGTTACTCCATATCATGAAACGTTGCAATTAGGCACTCGAGTGTAAAGAGAACATTAACCCATGAGAATTCCACTTCGTTATGGCACAAGAAATTAGGTCATATCTCCAAAAAGGAGAATTGAGAGACTTGTGTCAGACGGGATTCTAGATCCCCTTGATTTTACAAACTTTGAAGTTTGTACTAATTGTATAAAGGGAAAACAAACAAACATAAGGAGATTTGGTGTCAACAGGGCTACAGACATCTTAAAACTAATACATACAGACATTTGTGGGTCATTCCCTACAGTTTCTTAGAATGGTCAACAATATTTTATCATATTCATAGATAATTTTTCGTGTTATGGCGACCTTTATCTCATACATGAAAAGTCACAATCACTGGACATGTTCAAAGCTTACAAATCTAAAGTTGAGAACCAACTCAACAAAAGTATCAAAAGCGTCAGATCTATCTGTGGTGGTGAGTATTATGACAGGTATGACAGTTTAAGTGAACAACATCAAGGACTATTTGCTAAATTCCTAGAGGAGTGTGGTATCGTCCTATAGTACATCATGTCTGATTCTCCTACCATGAATGGTGTTGCCAAAAGACGAAAAAAAACACTTAAGGACATGGTAAGAAGTATGATTAGTCATTCCAACTTACCTGAATCTCTCTAGGGAGAAACATTAAAGACTGCAGCTTACATACCCAATAGAGTACCCACAAAAGAAACTACCAAAACCCCTTATGAACTTTGGACAGGCAAAAAGTCTAGTCTAAAGTATTTGCACATTTGGGGGTGTCCAGCTGAGGCTAGGCCTTATAGGCCACATGAAAAGAAACTGGACTCTAGGACGGTCAGCTGCTACTTTGTTAGTTACTTTGAGAGATCCAGGGGTTACAAATTTTATGATCCTACTTTCAAGTTAATATTTGAGATGGGAAATGTCTGGTTCTTTGAGAATGTTGAGTTTGCAGGGGGGATAAGGTTAAGGACTTTGTCTTTGAAAATGAATGTGTTAATAATCCTATAGCTGCTATTGACATTGATCAGACTTCTATTCCTGATATTGTTCAAGAAACAGATCCAAATTAAGACAATGTCATAGAACCTCCCATTCTAGAAATTGTTCTAGAAGAACAAACTCTACCACCCCAAAAACATGTGTCATTAAGAAGATTCACTAGAGAAAGGAGAAGTGCGGTTCCAAATGATTACATTATATTTCTACAAGAACATGAGGAAAACATTGGCATGGTGGAAGATGATCCAATTAACTTCCGCCAAGCCATAGAAAGTTCTAAATCTCAACGGTGGATTGATACCATGAATAAGAAAATAAAGTCTATGAAGGACAATAATATTTGGGACCTTATCGCGTTGTCTGAAGGTGCAAAGCCCATTGGTTGTAAATAGATATTTAAAACCAAGAGGGCTGGAAAGGCGATGTGGAGAGGTACAAAGCTCATCTTGTCACTAAAGGCTTTACACAAAAGAAGGCATTGACTATAAAGAGACTTTCTCTCCGGTTTCATCGAAAGACTCTTTTAGGACAATAATGGAACTTGTGGCACATTTTGACCTTGAGCTACATCAGATGTATGTAAAGACTGTGTTTCTCAATGGCGACATTGATGAAATAATTTATATGGTGTAGCCAGAAAACTTTGTATCGGGAGATGCAAAGAAGATGGTTTGTAAATTGAAGAAATTCGTTTATGGGCTTAAGCAAGCTTCTCTTCAGTGGTATTATAAGTTTTATCAAGTTATCATCTCATTCGATTTTGAGATGAATGTAGTTGATGATTATG